GGAATTAAAAGCAAAAATGAACTATTGGGACCTCATGAAGACACTTTTTTTTTTTTTTAACGTTTATTTACTTTTGAGAGAGGAGAGAGACAGAGCACGAGCAGGAGATAGGCAGAGAGAGGGGGAGACACAGAATCTGAAGCAGGCTCCAGGCTCTGAGCTGTCAGCACAGAGCCAGACGCAGGACTCAAACTCACAAATGGCGAGACCATGACCTGAGCCAAAGTCAGAGGCCCAACTGACTGAGCCACCCAGGTGTCCCTCAAGAAATCACTTTCTCTGTTCATCCATAAATAGCAACTCTTAATCTGTTCAGGTTTTTCGTGGGATTGCAGCAATTCATATCTTCAGGTTTCACTTCTAATTCTAGTTCTCTTGTTATTTTCATATCTGCAGTAATTTTCTTCACTGAAGTCTTGAACCCCTCAGTCATCCATGAGGGTTGGAATCAACTTCTTCCAAACTCTTGTTGATACTGATATTTTGACTTCTTCCCATAAATCACAAATGTTCTTAATGGCATCTAGAATGGTGAATCCTTCCCAGAAGGTTTTGTTTACTTTGCCCAGACCATCAGAAGTATCACTATCTGTGACAGCTATAGCTTTACAAAATGCATTTCTTAAATATTAAGACTTTAAAGTCAAAATTACTCCTTGTTCCATGGGCTGCAGAATGAATGTTGTGGTAGCAGGCATGAAAATGACATTAATCTCATTTTACATCTTCATCAGAGATCTTGGGTTACCGGTGCACTGTCAATGAGCAGTAATATTTTGAAAGGAATCTTTATTTCTAAGTTGTAGATCTCAAGAGTGGGCATAAAAGATTCAGCAAAATATGTTGTAAGCAGATGTGCTGTCTTCCAGGCTTGATTCTTCCGTTTACAGAGCACAGGCAGAGTAGATTTAACATAATTCTTAAGGGCCCTAGGATTTTCAGAATCGTCTATGAGCACTGGCTTCAACTTAAGGTCACCAGCTGCATTAGCCCCTAATGAGAGAGTCATCCTGTCTTTTAAAGCTTTGAAGCCAGGTATTGAGTTTTCCTCTCTAGCTAACAAAGTCCTAGGCGGCATCTTGTTCCAATAGAAGGCTGCTTCATCTACACTGAAAATCTGTTGTTTGGTGTAGTCATGTTCATTAATGATCTTAGCTAGACCTTCTGGATAACTTGCTGCAGCTTCGACATCAGCACTTACTTCATCTTGCACTTTCAAGTTATGAAGACAGCATCTTTCCTTAGACCTCATAAACCAATCTTTGTAGCTTCAAACTTGTCTTCTGCATCTTCTTCACCTCTCTCAGCCATTGTAGAATTGAAGAGAGTTAGGACCTCGCTCTGGATTAGGCTTTGGCGTAAGGGGATATTGTGGCTGGTTTGATCTTCAATCCAGACCACTCAAATTTTCTCCATTTCAGCAATAAGGCTGTTCTACTTTCTTATTCTTATGTTCACTGGAGTAGGACTTTTATTTCCTTCAAGAACCTTTCCTTTGCATTCACAACTTGGCAGTTTGGTGTAAGAGGCCTAGCTTTTGGCCTACCTCAGCTTTCAACATTGCTTCTGCACTAAGTTTAATCATTTATAGCTCTTAATTTAAAGTGAGAGATGTGTGACACTTCCTTTCACCTGAACACTTAGAGGTCATTGTGGGGTTATTAGTTGTCCTAATTTCAATATTGTTATGCCTCACAGAATAGGGAGACCAATGGAGAGGAAAGAAAAGGAGGGGGGTGGCCTGTTGGTGGAGTAGTCAGAACACAAAAAAAACATTACTCAATTAATGTTTGTTTCACCCCAAAACAATTACAATAGTAACATCAAAGATCACCAATTCTAGATCACCATAATAAAGATAGTAATAATTAAAAAGTTTAAAATATTGTGAGAATTACCAAAATGCAACAGAGACATGAGGTGAGCAAATGCAGTTGGAAAAATGGTGTTGATAGACTCGCTGGATGCAGTGTTGCCACAAACATTCAATTTGTAAAAAATGAAATATGTGCAAAGCATAGTGAAGTGAAATGCAATAAAACAAGGCATGTCTGTGTTCAACATTGTCTTAAAAGCTCTTGTCAGATCAATGAAGCAAGAAAATGGGATAAAATCAACTAAATTAGAAAGAAAAATAGAACTTTTTCTATTTGGAGATGGCATAATCTTCTATAGCAACCCTAAGGGCTCCACTAAAACATTATTAGAATTAAAAAATGAGTTCCATAAACTTGCAGTATTTATAATAAATGAAATGAAATCAATTATATTTCCATGAACTTGCAGTGAATTGTTCCAAAAAAACAATTATATTTACAATAACATCAAAAAAATGAAATATCTAGGAATAGATTTTAAAAGATGCACAAAATTCTGAAACAGAAAATATTATTGAAAGAAATTAAAGAACATCTAATGGAATGAAATTTTGTAGATTCTTGTGATTAGAAGTCTTGATATTATTAAGATAGCAATGTTCCCTAATGTGAGCTACATAATCAATTAATCTCTATCAGAATCACAGGTAGCTTTTCTTTTGTAGAAACTGATGAAGTGACCCTAAAATTTATGTGGAAACTCAAGGCATCCAAAGTATACAAAACAATCTTGGAACAAAATAAAGTTGGAGAACTCACTCTTCTCCCTTTCTAAACCTCTACAAACTAAAGACACCAGTACTTAGGAAAGATAGACATATATGAATGGAACAGAATGAGAATCCAGAAATACACCCTTACATTTATGGCCAATTGATTTTCAACAAGGGTGCCAAAACAATTCAATGGAAAAAACAAAAAACAAAAAACAATCTCTTCAGCAAATGATGCTGTACATCCACATGCACAAGAGTAAAGTTGGACCCCTACCTCACAGAATATACAAAAATTAACTTGGAAGGGATCAAAGATCCAAATGTAAGACCTAAAACGTTAATACTATGGATAAAATCAGAGGTATAAATCATTGTGACCTAGGATTAAGAAATGGTTTCTTAGATATGACACCTACAGCATAAACTAAAATAACAACAAATATAGATAAATTGGAGTACATAAAAAATTTTAAACTTTTGTACTTCAACGGACATCAAGAAAGTGGAAAGACAACCTATACAATGAGATAAAAATATGTGCATATATTATAATGGGACTTAATCCAAAATGTGTATGTGGGATCCAAGGAATTTAACAAAAATCCCCTACCCCTGGACAAGCAGAGCAAGACTAACTCCATTTTGTGCTACACCCACCATCTCATGTATAACCCCCACATGACCTGCTTATTGCTTAAGACACTCCCCCACCCTAGTCAAGCCACTGAGCACACCCTTACTGGAAACCGGCTCATATAGGAATGTGGAACCCTTAACCGCCAAAGAATGTAAGCCTCGCCTTTTGCCCGCCAAACTTGCGTGCCAATTCTGACCAGAGTGATAGGCTAGTTCAAACAGTTACTATAGGGTAAATTGTAATGCAATTGGCCACCTGCGTGTGGACTAACATGACTATGCAACGTTCTGTGTGTGTTACAATCTCATTGGCCACTGGCCCCTATAAAATTGCTATGCCTCTTAACCTAGGGGTCCACGTCCCTGCTCCACTGTGTCGGGTATACTTGGGCCCAAGCTCAAGCTTGCAAATAAACCCTCGTGCGTTTGCATTGGTATCTGCTCCTTGGTGGTCTCTTGGATTCGAAATCGGGGGCATTACATGTAAAATCATTCATAATTCAGCAATAAAAAGACAAATAACATAGGTAAAAATCGGCAAAGGATTTGATGACAGTGTTCTTCAAAAAACATATATAAGTGGCCAAAACACATGAAAAGTTGTTCATTAAAATTAGTCATTAGGGACATGTAAAAAACACAATGAGATATGTCTTCAAACCCACTAGGGTACCTGTAATTAAAAAGACAAACAAATAACAAGTGTTTGCAAGAATACTGAGAAATTAGAACTCTCATACATTGCCAGTGTTCATGTAAAATGTGCTAGCCACTTTGTAAAACATTTTGCTGTTCTTCAAAATTTTAATCATAAAAATGTAAATAAACAGCTAAACTAAAAAAAATCGCAATTTGCATTTTTTTCTCTCTTTTGCTACCATCTTTTCTTCCTTTCTCTTTATCTCAGCTCTAACTTCATAATCTGATTATTTGGAATTCCATCTATTTAAAACTCACTCTTATATTCTGTAGTAAATGTTTTTCCAAAACACATCTTTCTCTTACCATGATTGATGTTCATCTCTTGCATTTATGTTGTCATTGCTTATTTATTTCTTTTTCTTTTTTTATCTCTTACTTATTTCTTATTTTATTTTAATGTACCTGAATGAGAGTAAACTTTAATATTTGCCTCAAAACAATGTAATGAATTCTGTAATACCTTAAATGTGTTTATAAGCACTTAGAATCATCCTTCTAAATTTTGAGCTAGAAGCACGGGTTTGTGCATTTATTTTGTAAGTTTAATTCTGATACAACCTGAGGAAAATACAGAGAATAATGAGACTTTATTCAGGGCCAGAAAGAAAAATTTGACTCCATATATATTTATTCTAAGTTTGTCAGAATCACAGAACTAGAGATAGATGGTTCTCCAAACCTCAATTTAAAAATTTTTGTCTGATATTTATGCAGAACAAACTGTTATGTCCACCATAACACGTCTTTCAACATAGAAGAGAAAGAAGGCATCTAATCATTGTCAATTGATTCTGAACCTAAAGAATTAAGTGTATTTAAAAAGATCAAGGGCCACATAGGAATGTGTGTAACAATTACACAGTTTATGATACTGGTATCAACTGGGATTTCTTGTATGCCTGAGATTCCTTTTTGGTTTTAGTTGAGAATAAAATTCTAAATATTTCAGTTGAAACCAATTTAAAAAAAATCAGTATGGGTGATGTTTACACCATTAAATAAAGAAAAATGAACCTGAAATTGAAGTTGGTTCTTGTCTCAAACCAAGTTAATGTTTCTTTCATTTTAGATTTTAGAGATAAAAAGAGAAATCTCTTCCATCTGTCACATGCGTGAGTATTTATACAATCTTGACTATGGCTTTTCGTAATCGTCAGTCCATGATACAATGGATGCAAACACCAGGGATAATACCCAATTGTCCACCCGGATTGGAATATCTGACTCAGGTATGGTAATGTGCTTCTGGTTGGAATGGCAAGAATATGAATTTGATAGTTTCAAAATACAATGTGTGTTATAGGAAAGCATTTTGACTGCGGATTGAAGTATTTTACCTGTAACATTAAGATTTTTACATTTAATTTAAAATTTTGATTGAAGTAGTAAATTTACATTGTAGACATTATAACATTGCCATTTACAAATGTATTTCCTGAAAAGTCCATTTAAAAATGAATACTTGCTTTTTAAAGTAGGAAATTGGATTTTGAGAATGTAAGTAAAAACTGGCTTCAGGAATCTTCAGTTCGTCTATCTACTTAGGTATGGGAAGCCTGATATGCAATCGTGAAATGTGCACTATTACTAGGAAGATTGTCTCCAGTTCTCTACCAGAGATAATGACACTGAATTACTATCTTGTTTATTCAATCAATTCTGATTTAATTTCCTGTAATGCTGTCTCTGAATAATTAAGTTTGGCATTTCACACGACTAATCACTGGCCTCATCTTAGTTTTCGATACTTTAAAAGCTAAAGAGTATGTATGTTCCTTCTTAAAAAGGTTATTTACATTTTCAGTGCTTAATTATAAACTTGTCGCAAACAATGATATCAATCTAAGAAGATTCAATTTTGAATGTAAGTAAAGGGTAAAAACTACGTTAATTTTTTTATTCTAAATTACAGTACAGATATTTCTCTGAATTAAAAAAATATTTCTAATAAGTCTTTAAAAAATTTTGTGAACCTACTTTACAGACTGATAGTTTTTCATTTCCCTTTTCTTTTTTTTTTTATGTTTTTATTTTAATTCCAGTCAGTTAACATACAGTGTTGTATTACTGTACAATACAGTGATTCAACACTTCCATAAAACACCTGGTGCTCATCACAGGTACACTCCTTAGTACCCAACACCTATTTAACCCACCCCTCTTCATTTCCTTTTCCTGTGGTAAAAAAAAAAAAAAGTTAAAACTTCACATTTAAATTAATTGACAAATGTTTCTCCTTAAGAAAGCCTTAACTATGGCAAATCTTCTTAATATTTCTATCCTAATAAATTGAAAGTTATGTCCATTTCTTAAAAAAAAATTTAATGTTTATTTATTTTTGAGAGAGAGAGAGAGAGAGACAGAGCACGAGCAGAGGAAGGCAGAGAGAGAGGGAGACACTGAATACTAAGCAGGCTTCAGGCTCTAAGCTGTCAGCACAGAGCCCATTGCAGGGCTAGAACTCACAAACCATGAGATCATGACCCAAGCCAAAGTCGGATGCCCAACCAACTGAGCCACCCAGGAGCCCCTATAATTCCACTTCTTAGGAATTAGGGGGTATGTCTCCATGTATTTCATACTTATTAAGCTCATTTAGTGGGGGTATATTTCATAAGCAATGCTCCCTTACATGCAAAGGAGCAGATCTTATCAATCTCCCAATTTCTCTCTGAAATTCCTCAGCTACCAGATCTTCTGGTTTAAAGATAGTTTAAAAACCTAGTAAGTGTTGTGTATGTGGGGACACAGCAACAACTCATGAAGTGATACCATGTAGGATCTGAGTATTGCCTAAGTTGTTGTTTTTTTTTTTATTTTTTTAAATATAAATCATGGTAATAAGTGAAGAACAGTTGAAACCTAAAGATGCTATTCACTGTATAAGACCAAATCGTCTCATGGTATGACCCATTGTTTTTTGTTTTTGTTTTAATTTTTTTATTAGAGAGAGAGAGAGAGAGAGAGAGAGAGATCGAGCATGGGGGAGGGTCAGAAAGAGAGGGAAAGAGAGAATCCCAAGCAGGCTCCACACTCTTGGTTCGTGAGCTCCTGACCTCAACTGAAATCAAGAGTCATGCTTAACATCATGCTTAACTGACTGAGCCACTCAGGTGCCCCCGTGTGACCGGTCTTATAACACACCAGAGGGTCCTGCCTCCTTTTTTAAATTTTTTTTTTTAACGTTTATTTATTTTTGAGACAGAGAGAGACAGAGCATGAACGGGGGAGGGTCAGAGAGAGAGGGAGACACAGAATCCAAAACAGGCTCCAGGCTCTGTTTCAGCACAGAGCCCGAGGTGGGGCTCGAACTCACGGACCACGAAATCATGACCTGAGCCGAAGTCAGCCGCTTAACCGACTGAGCCACACAGGCGCCCCTCCTGCCTCCTTTGAAATAACATTCACACTGCACAGATGATTGCATTTAGACTCTTTCCTGGTTCACATTTTCTTTTCTGCTTTTTGTTTTCACATCTCCACAGCCACACTGCCTCCCATGTTTTCAGATTTCTCATGCTCCAGAATTCAGATCATTTTGTTATTTTGTATCTGTCTACACATTTCTGCAGACAGCCCTGCAAGCCCTTTATTGATTCAGAATGTTTTCAGAGAAATGCAGTTAAGCTCTGGTAGTGAGGTATCCCTTGCACACTCCCAGGCTCCTTCCAGTGTTCCAGATGAGAAGCTGGAAAACACAACAGTAAAAACTAGAAAGGAATCTAAATCTTTGAGGCTAAGAGCCGCCACTTAGAAGATGACCTTGACTCTATCATCATTGTATTCATTACACAAAATATTTAAACTCCTCATGTGCATGTAACACCTGCTTCTGCTTCCATTGTTTCAAGCTCATTTATCTTTTTGTCTTTGTGGTAGTTGTGTTTGATACTACAAACTAAAAAGGTGCTTTTATCAACAAGATTTCTCAAAACATTTACAGAACTAGCTTTGAGGAAATCTAGATTTTTCCCGGCATCAGCATTTGGATTAGTAATTGTATTTTCTCACTGTGATGTTGGTCTGTGTAAATAACCAACTAGTGACTCTTGGGTTCATTATTTTTTTTAGTATAACTGACACACAATATTATATTAATTTCATATGTGTAACTTAGTGATTTGACAGGTTTGTACTTTGTGTTATTTTTACAAGTATAGCTAACATCTGTCCCATTACACCCAACACTAATACAATATCATTGTATTCCTTACACTGTGCTTTTTATTCCCATGACTTATTCATTCCATAACTGGAAACCTATATCTCCCACTCCCTTTCACCTTTTTTGCCCAACTCCCTACACCCCACTCCCCTCGGGCAACCATTAGTTTTTTCTCTGTATTTATAGGTCTGATTTCTGCTTTCATTTGTTTTTTGTTTTGTTTTGTTTTTTAGATTCCACTTATGAGTGGAATCATATGTATTTGTCTTTCTCAGTCTGACTTATTTCACTTAGCATAAATCTTCTAGGTCCATCCATGTTGTCTCAAATAGCACCATTTCATCCTTTTTGATGGCTGTGTAATATTCCATTGTGTATTCATACTACATTTTTCTTATCCATTCATCTATTGATGGACATTTAGGTTGCTTCCATATCTTGGCTATTGTAAACAATGCTGCAATAAGTATAAGGGTACATATATATTGTTTTATTTTTAGTCTCTGTGTGACCCACCAGTGGCAGAGAGTTCCAGTCCCTCTTTTCTTTTTTGCTTTTGTCTGTTTGTAGAATTGCCAGATAAAATACAAGAAGACACTGAGTTACATTTGAATTTCAGATAAATATTTTTTAGGTTAATGTTTCATGCATTATTTGGCATATAGTTATGGTAATAATTATTCATTATTTAGCTGAAATTCAAGTTTAACTGAGCATTCTGGTGTTTTTGCTTTGTTTTATTTTGTTTTACTAAATCTAGCAACCCTATCAATTTGGTCACAGAATTTCACTTATAGCATGTAAAGTCTTCTAGTCTTCACTATCTTTAACATGGAACAGACGACCTTTTTTCCCACATCTTCTACTTCCCTAAAGAGCATTGAGGAACGTTACCTGCTTGCATGATGGGTTTGGGTTTCTATTTAAGACATCTTTATAATTATATTTAACTCATAATTGTGCTTTGGATAAATGTCTGACTGTACTTGTAATTGTTTAATACTTAACAAAAACATTTTTAGAGTATACTGTATATGGATGGCCAGAAAAAAAAAAAAAAAACCTACCTCACATTTAGACTAGTATATAACATTTGACAGAAAATAGAGAGATGTCAATAATAGGTCAATTACTTTGAATGTCCTAAATATAGGTATTAACGTATATGTTTATTGGTAGATACTTTAAGTTTAATTTAATTACTTCATACTACCTATCTTTATTTTCTACTCTATTAGATAAATCAGTTACTAGTGTGTCAACGTTTCGATCTTCTGGAAGGTATGTACCAAACACACAGATATATTCACTCTTGAATGTATAACTTGTGCTGTAGCTCAGCCACTCCCTATACATTAAAATGCTTCATGTGACTGGGCAAAAATAAACCTTGAAGTATGGTGAGAATATACAGAAGTCCATAGTCAATGATAGATAAATACAATAGTAGTCTTCTCATGGAAAAGGACAAAGGTATTGGCTCCAGATCACTCCTAAAAATTCTAGTCTGCACTTTTAGTCCTGCTAAACAGTAGGTCTATTTCCTAAAAGAGTCTTCCCATCCTAAATTCCTCAAATACAGGTATTTCAGAGAAGCAGTGATTGCAGATCCTTCAGGAATTCTGCTAGGAGAAGCAGAATCCAGGTAAGTTTCTGGGCAGTTCAATTCCACTCCCAAGCCAGAGAAATTGTTCTTTAGAATGCAACTGTTTACCTCTATCCCCTCAACTTAGTACAAGTATTTGTTTCATGTATATGAGGCTATGATACATGTAAATAAAATTAAATCAGTGTTTAGTTAAAAAAAATTATCACCATTGTGACTCTGTGTATACACGTTAGAGAATCTAAGACTAAAATAGACATTTATGGTTTGGTTTTATTCACAAAACCTTTTCAATTTTGGCATTCAAAAATGAATGTTTTCTTTGTTTTTTTTTCCTGCTGCCCTGCACTAAATGACTCATTTTATGAATGACCATTTATTCCAGAATCCCCACTGAATACCTATAATGAACAAGACACAATGGTAGCCATTTGAGAAAATCAAAGAGTCAGACCTGGGCTTTCCCTGAAATGTGGGTGAATATACTTAAATAAAATACATAGTATGGAGCCATAAAATTAATGAGAGAAGGAAAAACCAATTGTGAGAATTTATAGGACAGAAAAAGCTACAGTTATAATTTATAGTACTTATAATACTTAACAATTTAAGTAGTCACAGAAATAGCAAAAATATTGAGAAAAATCTAACCATCTATGTTATAGGGAACTAATTTTCCAAACTACTTATTCTCAAAGTGTGGTTGCCAGACCACCAGCATCAACATCATCTGGGAACATGTTGGAAATCCAGTTCCCAAGGTTCATCACAGACCTACTAAATCACAAAATCTAGAGGTGGGGTTCCACTACCTGTGTTTTAGCAAGCCCTCCAGATGGTTCTGATGCAGGCTAAAAATTGCTCTAAATGATACATTCATATAATTTAACATTGTGCATTTATTTAAAAGAATGAGACAGGTCTACAGAATTGTCAGGAATAGCTCCAAGATATATTGCTAAGTATCAAAAATAATTACAAAGTAGTGCATATAATAATGTGTGTGTGTGTGCATTTAAATTTTTTTTTTAATTTTAAAATTTAAAAATTTTTAAAATTTGTGCCATGCCTATGTAATTCCTACTCATAAGAAGAAATTAAATTTAAAAGGCAATCAAAATACTTTTTCATCAATACTGAATCAGGATTTATCTTTGAATATTAAATAAAAATGAATAGGGGCGCCTGGGTGGCGCAGTCGGTTAAGCGTCCGACTTCAGCCAGGTCACGATCTCGCGGTCCATGAGTTCGAGCCCCGCGTCGGGCTCTGGGCTGATGGCTCGGAGCCTGGAGCCTGTTTCGGATTCTGTGTCTCCCTCTCTCTCTGCCCCTCCCCTGTTCGTGCTCTGTCTCTCTCTGTCCCAAAAATAAATAAACGTTGGAAAAAAAAAAAAAAAAGCTATTATGGAATTTTAGCAGTGAAAGGGACCAGAGAGTAGCTATATCTGTTTTAGTTTTTGTAAGGCAAAAATAAGACACCGATGAAGATAAGTGACTTACAGTCAAGTAATTTATTACCAAACCTAAGTTGCATATTTGAAGGTAATTTAATAGGCAATTTACATGTCTCCCATCACTAATAAAACACCACATTGTTTCATTCTTTAGTTCTCGGTTGTTTTGCAACTAGTAAAAAATATGAAGTCATGAACAATCAAGGACACAGAATTTATTATGCAGAAGAAAGAAGTAATTGTTTTCTCCGATATCTCTGTGGACCTTCAAGACCTTTTACCATGACAATTTATGATAATGTAGGCCGTGATGTCATTACTATGCATAGAACTCTAAGAAGTAGCTGTTGCTGGAGAAACTGCTATGTACAAAAGGTCAGTAAATATTGTTTCTACATGATTGAGAATGTATCTGAATTCGTTCAAAAAAGCCTCAACACTGAGCAGTATGTTACAACATTGGGTTTGGCTACACAAAATTTTCCAGAATGAAATATGTTAGAGAATTATGTATTTGTATCACATACCTGTAACAGAGTGAGAATAATACACAATACTGTAAATATTTTTCAGGCAATGGAGATCACAAGATCTTTAGGTTTATCAAAGTTTTCTATTCTAAAATAGTGTGGTTTTTATTTGAATTTTTCTGCATGTACTTCTCAGCCTTTGAATGGAGTGTCAATGAATTAGGGGCTGTGAAGTCTCATTCCATTTTCAGCTGTGTTTCTCAGACTGGTCCCTTGAGCTTTCACTGAGTGGGATCCCTTTCTTTCCTTTCTTGTTAGTGATATCTGGATTCCTAGGATCTCAGGAATAGCTTGTTGTTGTCATTTGTCTCACTACATCCACTTGTATTTTGAGATGTGGAGCTATAATTTTTGCATCTACTTTTGATAAAGAATTTGATAGTGGTTTTGTTTGTTTAGCTATCATACTTGTCCTGTCCTTTTCTGTGAGAGTTTTGAGAAGATTCACAAGCTACATCACCACTGCCACCTTCTTGACTTAGCAGTCTGAGGAATACTTAGACATGGTGAGAGAGAGAGAGAGAGAGAGAGAGAGAGAGAGAGAGAGAGAGAG